TGTATGCGCCGAATATATATAACAATCTCTAACCAGAGCGTTCTTGAACGTACAGGCAAGAAATGCAAGAGTAACGATCAACGCAGTACACCCGGGAGTTGTAAAGACCGGAATTATAAGAGCTCATAAGGGCTTCATCACAGGCACGGATTTGTCCCTTTGATCTACGTTTAAATGTGAATTAATGTCGCAGTACTGCAAAACGAAATCTAATTTTCTGGAACCTTTTCTTCCCATGCAGATTCTGTGTTCTTCATCGCGTCCAAGTTTCTAAAATCGACATCTCAGGGTGCTTCAACAGCTTGCTATGTTGCTTTAAGCCCGGAACTGGAAGGAGTGAGTGGGAAATACTTTGCAGACTGCAACGAGAGCGACTGCTCGAAACTAGCAAATGATGAATCTGAAGCTCATAAGTTATGGAAGCAGACTCGTCTGCTAATCCATAGACGCCTTTCCCAACCAACAGCTTAATAAAAGCGAAAATGTGTAGTCCATCCCTCTGCCATTCAGCCATGTATATAAGGGGATTTATATAAGCAAAAGATAGAGAGGCCTAGGATATCAGGACTACATAATAAACAGACTCCGGAACTAAATAATCATGATGCGGCATTGTAGTAACAATATGTGACAGTGTGACCGTGACTCTGAAATTTTTCCCACCAAAAATTAAGAAAATGGTACGTTGGCACTGTTTTTGTACAATAGACTCGATATTTACATGACAAGATTGGAAATTCGGCTGCTAGGCTGCTTGTATTTGCTAAAAACATGATAGATTCAGTCCATAAAACAATGTATGTTTGTGGAAGCATATACAATAAGAGAACTTCCACCCCTAAAAGCCCTCTTGAGCTATAGGCAACTTAATCCCCAAGTGAACTGTAACTGCCTAAAGTACATCTCCCTCCCTAAATTGAATAACCTAGACTATTAGTATTAAAATATTTTTTTTTAAATAAAATAATAAAAAATAATTTTATTTTTAACTTCAGATATAATTTTTAACCAAAAGTGAAAGAGCATGGTTAGGGTTATTTTTTTTATTTTTCTGTATTTTTAATATTTAACTGATATCACGTTGATGTCAGCCTTGCGTCACATAACCTACGTGCTAGGCCGTGTATTCCTGTCTGGTGGAACAATCAAGCTCCCCTGGCCTGGTGTGTGGTGGAGGGGTTTTTTTTTTTTTCTGGGGGGAGGGGATTTAAAGGCCTATCCTAGGGGATTTGAAAGGGCTGGAGATGCTCAAACAGATTTGAATCAAGAACTTTACACATTGAACCATCTGAACCAAAATCTTAGATCCTGCAAGCATATAATATATAATTCTTGCAAACCCCTTAGGGGACATATCCCTAATGCATCATCAAAACTTGAAAAAAATGAAATATCGGAAAACATCCTCTATCACGGCCCTCTTGAGAAGTGAAAGTGAAGCTACATATGAACAAATTGTGAAGAAGAGAAACGAAGATACATCCCCATAGCCGATGCCTCTACTACAAAGAGTAAAAACACACACATCGAAATCTAGGATACAATCAAAATACAAGTGAAATCCACGCATTCACAACAGCGAAACAGTTTTGGGGATTACAAGACTTACATATTCATTACCCATTAGCTGTTCAGTTCAATGAAGACGCTGAAGAGTACACAAGTGAAACAAACCCAGCAACAAGGTGGTGCTGTCATGTTGGGCTGTTTCTGTCTACTTAAGTTATATGAACACAGAAATCAAGTTTCTTGTCTTACACGTCAAGCATTTGTGGTTGCCAATTATGAACATCAACCTCATCAAGTGTCTCCTTCGTCTTCATTTCTTAACCTGCCATAGTTTTCAATATATTTTATCAAAAGAATTTTGCACCAACGGTTTTCTTTTACAAAGTAAATAAAAACTTATTAAAAGCATTCAAGCACTGTGAGTCATGAAAACAAATAACAAGCCGAAACTTGGAAGAGAAGGAAGACTATAAATGTGAAATCAGAAAATACCCTTAAACGAGGAGACCGACGCATAGATAATGCAGAGGCAGGAGATTGAATTGCTGCTTTACTCCCCTTCCCATGGTTAGGTTTCTTGAAATGTCTATTTTCTTCTCCATATTGAACTTGGTGGTCATAAATCTCGGCCAGAGATTCACTTCTCCCAGTTGAGACAGACAAAACTGGAGCAGACCCAGAAATTGTGGAAGAATCTTGAGGAAGAACAGTTGGTAATCCTGTTGAACCATAATGAACACAAAAATCAATAACATACATCAATACGTGCACTAGAGTCAGGAACTATGACAGATTTTAGAATAATATACAGGGCCACTATTTGAGGATGTTCCCTTTCCAGCACAGAAGATTTTAGGTGAAATGCAAGAGAGAAGGCCTACCTTGAGCCCCAACTTCTTGAAACTTCACTCTGATATCTCTGACAAATTTAAATAACTCATTGTTTCTGTTCAATTCATGAATCATCTCTTTGGTCTCGTTCAAGTACGGATCACAATCTACCACTAGACATTAAAAGAAACGGAATATTAGAAAGTTTGAGATACACAATATAAGATGTATATTTAAGATTAAACTAAACCCTACAAATAAGAGGTACAATACTTACAGGTGTAAGTATCATTTGCATGGCGAACAGTGAAACGGAATTCCTGATCTGGATTCTTCAAACTAATGTTCTTGAATGTGAATTTTACACCTAGTCACAGAAGGATGTTTGTCATTACCCATAATAGATATATGAGAAATGTTGCACAATCAAATAATTTCAATTACCATGTCCGCCTTCAATGTAGAAACCAAGGACCCTATTATACCACAAGATGGCCTCTTTTATTTCATCTTTTCTGTCTCCGATACAATTTTCTTCAGACTCTGCCAAAGTTTGAACATTACTAAAATTAAAAAAAAAAAGTAACAAAATTTGGAATCACAATCATATATGATGTCCTTTGAAAAATCGAGTCTCTCTCCAATAAAAAGCCAAAATGCAATCAAACAAAGAGCACCAATCTGACACGCCCCGATCCCAGTGTCTGAAGGACAACGGGATGGCCACATGCTGGCTAACACCCGAGGGTGACGCAAGCCATAAAACCTTCATAAACATATATCGTATATAGCGTGCTTAGTAGTGGTATCACAATCGCCCGAAGGTTACATCACCCGCCCAAAGGCATACATAAATCTTCCGCCCGAAGGCCCTACATCACCCACCCAAAGGGATATATGACCAGAATGCAATCAAACAGAGAGCAAAAGTTTAACTATTAATGAGTACATAAAATGATAGAAAGCTATAACCACAAATCAGCATTGGTGCTAATAACTGAAATAATCAGAGGAAATTACCAAAAGATTGCTGAGAAAGGATTGCAGCATATTCATCCCTCTTAGCCCTTTGATCTTGCACCGTTCTCTTAAGTACTTCAATTCTAGCTTTCCTAGCTTCAATGGCCTCCATCAATGCCATTTGCTTGGCCTCTTTACGGGTCTTCACTACAAAGAACAATAAGAAATATAAACTAACACAGATTAATTTGAAGAAGGAAAAATATATCTTAAAAGAAAAAGATTTCAGCTAATCACAGCAAAAGCAGCAATTAAATTGATTAGCTTTCAGGGATATTGCTACTAAACAATAAGATTAGTGTAATTTCTTTGCAATTTTAACTTCAAATTTTCCAAATAATTTCTAATTTCCATCCAAATTATAAATACAAAATGCAGAGTATATACCTGCTAGGGCTTTAAACAAATCATCCTCAGCTTCCCTCAATTTAGCTTTAGCCTCTCCTAACTTACCTGCAATTATTCGAAAGAAAACAAACTTCAGCCAAATGAGATTTACAAAAATTTAAATCCGAAACCCTAATTTCGCACGAACCACGCATCCTCACTCAGCTCAAGAACCCAAATTTATGCACGAATTACAAGAAAACGCAGATATAAACCCTAAATCGAAGTAAATTTATGAAAAAATCAAGTAAATCAAAGGGTTAAATGACAAGCTGGACCTTGGGACTGGAGGGTTTCCTGTGCGGTGGCGCGGGCTGAAGCCAGGGAGTCCCGAAACGACGCCGCGAAGGCATCCAAATCCTGCTGGTGGATCGGAATCTCACTCTCGCAGGCCATCCGTAGCGACTCCATCTTCGTCCGTACGGACTCCTCTGGTTTGGCGTCCATTTGCTGAAGACTGAAGACTGAAGAGTGAGTGAGTGATTGAGGAAGAGGGTGAGTCGGTGACTCAGTCGGAACTATTTTTTGAAAAATGAAAGTTTGCGCCACTTTTTAGTTTTTTTTTTTTTTTTTTTCAGTGAGTCGATTTATTGGGAAAAAGATGTGGGCCGTATTGGATCTGGGTACAGATACATTGGGCCTTTAGGCTTCTTTATTTTTATTTGTTTTTTCTCTTTGTTTTTTTGGTTGTTGGACTGATCAAATTTTTAAAAGTGTTTCTCTGACAGTCAAAAGCACTTACCGTGTTTAGTTGAGAACCTTAAAAGTGTTTTTAACGCAGCTAAGTGTGCTTCTTCGTGAAGGAAAAAAAAACACTAGGATTTTTCATATAAATTTCAGCAACGATTGTCAGCATTTTTGTTTTCCCCATCACACGCATATGAAGGATTGTCAGTATTTTTATTGGTTGATGAATCTTTTTAGATATAATTTGATAAAGTAAATATCATCTACAAAGACGCTTAATTCAATTAGTCTGGCTATGGAATGAACGTGGATTCATTAGACCATTTGATTTGGGCAATACTTGCACTTCAGCTACAAGGTAATTAGTTGGCCAACTTAGGGTTTTGTGATCATACTTGTCTGCAAATCTCTAAGAAAAGCAATGACTCCATCTACAAGTAATAGTGCTACCTTGATTTGATTTGTGAATTTCAATTTGTTTTGTTGGGAGAAAATTAAGTCTGAAAATTAAAGTTTTTTTTACTTTACCCAATTCAGTAGTACAAAAAATGAAGTCTGTTTTACTTTTCATCCAAAATTTTATAGCATAAGAAAATATAACCTCAAATTTAAATATTTAATTACCTTGAAATTTACAGTTCTTCCGCATCAAAATATAACCTCAAAGCTAAAACATTTGCCTAAATTATCTAAAGGGCATTGGTGTAGTTCTCAATCATAGAGATCAGCTTCCTCTCCAGCAACCGCGGCTGAAGAAAATGGGGATAGAGCAGCTTCTCCTGCATTGTTCTCTGTCTGTTGAGCAGGAAATCGAAATTCGGATCCAAACCCACGAGATTGCTGCAAAGTCTGAGCAAATAGCTGGTACTTCTTGATGTCCGCATCACTCACACTTCTTCGGGCATATTTCATCGATTCCTCAAAGTGTGCTGGCTTGATCTCGGCTACCTCATCAATTTCATCTTCTTCCATGGCTTCGGGGTTAGCATTCTTTCTTCTTTCCCTCTCAATATCCTATCAATGTTTGAAAGGAGGAAAAGATTAGTACAATTTTCAGGAATGTGATACAGAAATGTTATTGTGATTTATAAAAAAAAATTAAGAATAAATTTCAACAAGCATCTATGAATCATGTTAATGCTGCAATTAGGTTTCTTGTATGTCAAGGAATGTCAAGGGAATTTTGTCTTAGAAAACGAAAAAAAAATCTTTTAACGAGCATAAATTTTCTTCTGCAATTAGGCATCTTGCTCGTGCTGCAAGTAATTAATTCAAGTAGGAGAAAACCTCTTACCTTCTCAATGTCTTCTCTGATGGCATATTTGCAGGCACGTTGACATATCTCAGTGATATCTGCACCACTAAAACCGTGCGTATAACGGGCAAGAGCTGCTAGGTCAATATCCTTAGAGATGGGGGACTTGCGCAAACATGCTTTAAAAATCTGAAGGCGCGAAGCCTCATCTGGGAGTGGGATGTAGATAAGTTGGTCAAGACGTCCAGGCCTGAGCAATGCCGGGTCAATAATATCTGGCCTGTTTGTTGCCCCAATGATAAAGACGGTTTTCTTTGCATTCATTCCATCCATTTCAGTTAGAAGTTGGTTCAAGACTCTGTCTCCAGCACCACCGGCATCTCCCACAGAATTTCCACGCTGATAGAGGAGGGGGTTCGCGAGTTAGTTCAAAGCGAATGACAGTTACTCTCAAAATAAACAAGTAAATTAACCAGTAAACATAAATTTGAATGTGATTGAATGGAAAAAAAATAAATATATAATCTCAAGTACCTGAGTTGCAATCGAGTCTAGCTCATCAAAGAAGAGAACACAAGGAGCAGATTGGCGAGCCTTGTCAAATATCTCGCGCACATTGGCCTCACTTTCTCCAAACCACATTGTTAGCAACTCGGGTCCTTTGATACTGATGAAGTTGGCCTGACATTCGCTGGCAATTGCCTTGGCGAGAAGGGTTTTCCCACAGCCAGGCGGTCCATAAAAGAGAACGCCTTTAGAAGGCGACATGCCAAATTTCTCAAACATCTCTGGATGCTCCACGGGGATTGAAACAGTCTGCAAGAGGTAAAGGAATTAGTAAGAATTTTGGTCCATAAAAATTATGTATAGAAGAAGAAGATGAAATTGAATCACAAACCTCTTGAAGTTCTCTTTTGACGTTGTCCAACCCACCAATGGCATCCCACGAAACATTTGGTACCTCCACAACCTGTAAACCAAGAAAATAAGTTTGTCATTCTCAAGTCCAAAGATTTTCTGAGTAGCAACTTCTAAACAAGTCAAGCTTGCTACTCCTAAACTTAAAAATAAACAAAAATTGAAATAAATAAATAAAACTTACAGTTTCGCGCAAGGCAGAAGGATTTGTAGAGGACAATGAGGTCTGAAAGTGTTCATTCGTCACAGCCATCGAATTCAACACCTCAGCATCAATCGTTTCGTCTTCCAAATCAATAACATCCATTTTTTCGCGGATGCACTGAAGTGCGGCCTCTGTGCAGAGAGCAGCAAGATCTGCACCAACAAAACCATGGGTATCTTTTGCAACTCTTTCGAGATCAACCTGTTATAGTAACAAAACGCCAAGTTAATTATCACGATTTATCGCAAGGCAAGACAAAACAATATGATATATCAAAATTCGAGGATAGAAAATCTTACATCATCTGCAAGTTTCATCCTCTTTGTATGGATTCGTAAAACTTCCAATCTTCCAACTTCATCCGGCACGCCAATGTCAATCTCTCTATCGAATCTTCCAAATCTCCTCAGAGCAGGGTCGATGCTGTTTGGCCTATTCGTTGCTCCCATGACAATGACATGCGCACGGGACTTAAGGCCGTCCATTAAAGTCAGGAGCTGGGAAACTATACGCCTTTCCACTTCACCGTGGGTCTTTTCTCTCTTTGGAGCAATAGAATCTATCTCATCAATAAAAATGATTGAGGGTGCATTCTTTTCGGCTTCCTCAAACACCTTCCTCAAGTTGCTTTCACTTTCACCTGCCATCTTGGACATTATTTCAGGTCCATTGATCAAAACAAAGAACACTCCAGTCTCATTCGCTACAGCCCTTGCAATCAAAGTTTTTCCAGTCCCGGGTGGCCCATAGAGTAAAATGCCCTTCGGGGGTTTAACTCCAATCGATTTGAAGAGCTGCGGATGTCTAAGAGGCAGTTCTACTAACTCCCGTATCTGGGCCATTTGCTTTCTAACACCTCCAACATCATCATATCCCACATCCTCTAGTCTTTCCTCGTCCTCACGTTTGACAGGCTCTCCCTCACAGAAAATCTCAGTATCCGGTGCAACAATGCAATACTCAGCAGGGTCTGTCTCCATGACCTTGAACTCAACGCTTCGCATCATGCCCCGAACCAGGAAAAGATCACCCTTCCTCGTAGGCCGGTAAGAATCAACGAAGTATGCTGTGAACCAAGAATGTAAAGAAACATGTCACAGAAGCACAAAGTCTATTGTAACATAATATTTATGTGTGACACAAACAATTAATAAGGAAATAAATTTCAAAGAGAATACTCACGCTTCAAATATGCATCGAATAAGCTTCCTGTCACTCCTTCAATTGTATCATCGATTGGAAGGATGTGAACCTTCTTTCCATACTTGACATAAGGGCAGGGATGAACAGACACAACATCTCCAAGGCGAACCCTAAGATTAGCTCTCACAACTTTGTTCATTCTGATTTTCGGTTCCTCGCATTCATCATCGGCAATAATAATGCAAATTGTGTCTCTCCTTTTCTTGCCCTGTACACCCCCAAAAAAGTAGTGAGATTCAATTTCTACGCATTTATTTAGACACTCAAGTTCGACGCACTCAGAAATATATATAGAAGAGCAAAATATACCTTAATTAAAACAGTGTCTCCACGGAAAAACTGAAGCTTCTCCATTGCAGCAGGGTGCAAGGAAATCACAGAATTATCATCATTGACAGCTTCATCGACAACAAGTCGATTAGGAGACTTCTTTCGTTCCAAAATAGCAGTCGAAAAATCTTTCTTGTTGCTTTTCCTGTATTTGAAAATAAAAACTTTAGTTTCTCGTAACGAAGTACTCATCACAACCAACAAATAATCAAATCTTCTCATTCAAAACTACAATCCCGCAATAGAAGACTTCTGGCAAAAGTTAAACAAGAACTCTCGGGTAATTTAGCGCTAACAAAATTGTAATGGTGTTATATCCCCCTATCAAAACCAAACAATACACCTATAGCGGTACAAGAGTATGCTTTGGAAACTAATCAGTCAATCATCCATGTGTATAGAGCATATATCTTAATTGATCCCAGTGTAACTGCATAAATATGGTGCAGAAAAAGGAAAGGTTGAATCTTTCGAGTTCGAGATTGGCTAGAGCGGATGTGCTCCCACCATGTGCACTGAGTTTGAACTCCCTCCCCATAGTTAGATTAGTTTAAAGTATAATATCCCTTGTATTGAATTGACAAAAATGAAAAACACAACGATCAACATAGCATCGACACATGTACACTGCCGTAAACCCTAAACCCTATTCCCTATTCAGTTTGATAAAAGTTTCAAAAGTTGATTATTTTTAGAAACAAACAGATGCTAAGACGAACTGCGATAGCTATAACAGATGGCTATAGGAATACGTACGGGTCCGAAGACGAAGAGGGCTGAGAACGATCAGGAGCAGATGGACTCAGAGGCGCCATTGTTGTTACTTCTTTGGTTTTGGATTTTGGCGGTTTCGTCGATCGTCAACAAAGGTTTTGGGAGTTTCAAACTTTGTGAAGAGTGAACTTTGACACAAATGCGAGGGGCTTTGGTATTTTATAGGCAACTAGAGAGAAGGACCTATTCCGTTTAGGAGTAGGGTTGTGAGTTTTATTTCGGTTACGTGCGGGAAAAGATACATCTCTGCCGACAAGGAAAAGGACTAATCAGTTGGAGTTTGCACATGCTCTAAGCCAATCATGCACAACCACGTAAAAAAATTACTTTTAAATTTCGTAGGAGTCCATTTTTGTCATTCACTTGTAATTTTGGAGAACAATGAGTTATTATAATTTGGTCCTTGTAGTTTGCCAAAGTTTCACTTTGATTTGTATAGTTTCAATTGATGCAAATAAAGTTCTTGTAATCTACTAATTGTTCCAGGTAAAGAACAATGCTTAATTAGTTTTTTTTTTATTACAAATTAAGACATGTGAGACATAGATGAGGGAAAGTAGGTATTTCAAAAGAACTCTTGGCCCTAAAAAGATGGACTGCCTTAGCAAAACCATCAGCTGGTCTTCTTTTTAAAAAGAAAAAAAATAAGAGATGTAATAGTACCTCATTACGTCTCTCAATTCCTAATTTCTTAAGAAGAAAAAATTGAATCAAGTCATTGCCATTGAATTGAGAAAATTATTAAATCACAAATTCTTAAATTAATATGTGACAACTTAAGACACGAAACAATACATGACTCGAAATCAAGATGAATTATGTGTTGAACATTTTATGAGTGTCACGCACACAATATAAATAGAGATTCAAACTCACTATTTACATTTGAACCTAAGACCATCTCCAAAAGACATGTCAAATATGCCAAATAGGATTAAAAGATATTCAGGTATTCCCCCAATGGATATGCCAAATATGATGTGGCAGTTGAATCATTTGACTCCTTACTTTCTAGCTGTCTTTTTTTACAGCAAACAAAGAAGGAGTCAAATATTTTTAATTCATGGATCCCATTAACAACCAATAGAATAAAAACTAAAATTAATTTTGATTATTTTTTAATAGTTAATGTAACTCTGGACCCAATAAAATACATATGTAACACATCAATTGAAAAATAAGAGGATTTAGCACTTGTATTCAATTTGCCATATCAGCCATCAAATATAATTTTGGCATATTATTTTCGACATCTCATTTGGAGATGCTCTAAGACTCCTACTTATGAGTGAAAAATAATACCATTACACCTTAGTACTAAATAACAACCTGATCACAGCCGTTGTTTTTTTTTTTTTTTTGGTAAATAGATCACAACCGTTGTGACCCCTAGTAAAATCATTCTTCGGCCAAATTTGGGCCCTTTAAAAGCACTTTGGGCCTCCTCTGCCCGGCCTGGCCCAACTCAAGTCGTCTTCCCCAAATCAAAGAGGGCGCGCAGAGAAACCGAACGTACAAAATCCGAATTAACTCGCTGGAGTAGCGTAAGCTGGGAGAAAGAAAACATGGGTATTCAAATTGGGGGGCAAATAGAGAAGGTGAGCGGGAAAAAACTGGGGTACAATGAGTTCGTGGAGAGGTACATGGAGAAAAACCAGCCTGTGGTGCTCACAGGTCTCATGGACGATTGGAGGGCTTGCAGAGATTGGGTCACCGACGACGGCCAGCCAAATCTTCAATTTTTCGCTACCCATTTCGGAAAATCCAAAGTTCAGGTACTAAATTTCGTGCAGAAATCTGATTTAGTGAGATTAAATATGAATTATGAAGTGTGTTTAGAAGGAATTAATCACAATTAAGAAGATTGGCTATGTGGTAATTAGATATTAGCTAACATATCAGCCCTGTTTTGGTTTCTGTTGCTAAAGATTCAAGCTTTGAATTTTTGGTGTAATATTGCAATGTTAAGTAGTTTTTTAGGTGATGTGTGATTGTAATATTAAGAAGTATGTTAGAGGAATTAATCCTAATTGGGCTTATTAGCTAACTCACCGCCCCTTTTATTTTGTTTTGTTTTCTGTAGTTTTGTAGTAGAATTAATGCTTTAAAGGTTCAGCCTTTTTATGTTTGATCTTTTTAAGGTGAGGTGATATTTTGTCACTAGGTTGCAGATTGTGGTACTAGAGAATTCACAGATCAGAAGAGAATGGAAATGACTGTTGCGGACTTTGTTGAGCAATGGCTCGGGGACCCCATTCAGGAGCATAGTAATGCTTCAAGTCATGAAGCTATGAGCAAGGAGTTGCTATATTTGAAGGACTGGCATTTTGTTAAGGTGCTAGTTAGAAACTTTGAATTCACCCTTTATTTACGGGGAATTATGGAGCAGTTGAGGAGTTAGTTTCCTGGTGATTTTATGCTTTGACATCCTTGTTACTGTCTGCCTTGGGTGTATGGGGGCTTTGTATATTTAGTTGGGACATATCAGCTTTGAGAGTCTATCGCTTTGGCCGTATCAGTGTGTCTAGTCTAAGGTAACATCTCAAAATTTTCTAGCATAGTCGCCTGACTTGTTCTATCATCCTTTGGTGTTCTGATCTCCAGGAGTACCCAGAATACAAAGCCTACACAACTCCGGTGCTCTTTTGTGATGATTGGCTCAACATGTATCTTGACAATTATCACATGCATAATGATCCCAACATTTACTCAGAAAATAACGAAATTAGTTGCTCTGATTATCGTTTTGTTTACATGGGAGCAAAAGGTTTGAGAATATTTGTGATACGTTCATTCGGTCTCTCACTTTCTAGTCATCTATATGATCTACATAAAAAAATTCAAGGAGATTTATCTCCATGTCTGTGGTTTATGCAGGCACTTGGACTCCTCTTCATGCTGATGTTTTCAGGTCATATAGCTGGTCAGCGAATGTGTGTGGCAAAAAACGGTGGCTTTTCCTCTCTCCCTCTCAAAGTCATCTTGTGTTTGGCAGGCAAGTTTACAATTTCCTGCACTAATAGTAATCACAGAGATCTGTATTGGGAGTCTGGGACACTGGATTTTGTATTGCTTTGATAAATGAAATATATTATAGAACTCTTTCACTTTCTTTCCCTCGTTTGACCTTCAGGAATATGAAAAGCTGTGTATATAATATCTTTGATGATGTTAGTGAAACCAATGTTCCTGGTTTTGCAAAGGTAAATCATCAATCTATATCTTCAAGTTTTCTTTTGTCTAGTTGTATTTTTGCAGCTTTTCTTGTGTTGAAACCGTATATTCTTCTATTGAGCAGGCTATCTGGTTGGAGTCCATTCAAGAACCAAATGAGATTATCTTTGTGCCTAGCGGATGGTATCATCAAGTTCATAATTTGGTATTTCTTCTATTTCTTCAAGTTTGTTTCGCCCTATCATAAAATAGAAGTCTGAAAGCATGTAACACTTGTAAGAGGTTTTCCAAGTAAATCACTCTCCATATGCAGTGTGACCTTTCTTGCCAGTATAACGGAAAACTGATAGCAGTATGTGCCCTCTGTTTAGCATTTTATATTTGCCTTTGGCCTACTGGAATGGAGTTGGCCCTGCATGTTTCTTGATCTCAATACAAGAAGCTTGTCATACTCAACTTTTCTATTTGTAGGAAGACACTGCAGTCTGTACTTCAATCAAAACAAAAACTATTGTCATGCTTGATGAACGGAATTTTTTCATCTTATTTGTGTTCATAATACTTTCAGGAAGATACAATTTCCATAAACCACAACTGGTTCAATGCTTATAATATTCGTTGGGTGGTAAGTGGAACACTACTGCCAGAGTATCTCGTGTGTTAAATTTTTACCATTCCATGGAAAATTAATGATGCTAGTGTTCTTGTGGCACTAATTTATATCTATTAAGTTATAGTGGGATTTGCTTTTGAGGGACTACTACGAAGCTAAGGAGTACATAGAAGACATCAAGGATATATGTGATGATTTTGAAGGTCTCTGCCAACGAAACCTTGCCGCTAATACAGGTAAAGTGCAAACTTTTGAAGAAAGCTTAAACTCAGTAGATGACAGTATATCCTAATATTCTAGCAGATGGAACATGCAATAACCTAAAGCTTGTTTAATTTTCCTCAGTGGCTAGTCCAAAGCACTTGGACATAATCATAACTACTGAATAAACTTAGCATCCGGAAGAGGGGGTGGAACTCGAGGTTATAGAAAAAGAAAAAGAAAAATCCTAATCTGCTTGCCAATTTTTTCTTTTTAATGCAGGCATGAACTTTAGTGATTTCTTAATCTTCTTAGCACGGTTCTCTCTGGCCAACTTGATCCAACTTCATTATTTTGCTAGAAAGAATGGAAATCACACTCGGCATTCATCCCCAATTGCTCAGAATTTCACTTTCAACCTTGCATCAATTCAAAAAATTGCATCGAATATAAAATCTATGGAAGATCAGACAGGAAGTCATGGATTTCATTTGGATTTCCGGGAAGCCTTAAATGATCCCAAGTTCTTTAAACTTTGTACTGTTTTGGGAAGACAATATGGGATGGTACACATGGAACCAGACTGGAATTGCGATACAAAGAAAGCTTGGTTAGATGATATGAGGTACATGGAAATTCTAGGAACTTGTAGCTCTGAGGTCTCTACTGCCAGTGATCTTGTTAAATTTGTAGAGCATGCTGTTGCAGAATTCATGGGTGTTTGAACTGCAAGATTTTTCACTGTCTAATTGAAAAATGAAAACAGTTCAATGAGAATTGATATCCCGCTACAAGATGTCAATGGTGAACTACTGGACAACGCCAAGATATAAATCTGCCTGCAGCACTGCTTATTTGGCTTATGAAGGTCTGACAATCTGCCTGCAGCACTGCCTATTCGGTTTATGAAGGTTTGATTTTCGGTTGTGGGATCCAAATAACAAGAACAGTGGTTGGAAAACCCTATGAGTGGTATTTGCCTTTGAAGTTGCTGATTCTTATTGTCTTCGTGCTAACTCACTGAAGTTTGAACAACTCTACCGAGTCGGTGAATTCACTGGTATCATTCTATGAATCTATATTTTCTTTTCCTCCTTGCACCTCTGTATATATGTTCTACCTGACTGAAATTCATATGATGATTAAGCAGGTCAGCTTGCTTTACTTTGAATCTTGCTTTAGACTTTGATGATGTTTAAATGTGGTAAATAGGAAGTCGTAAATCTTATTAACGCGTTTCATTACTTGCTTTCACGTTAACCGTCTTCTGGTGTTTTTACTTTTGCATGTATTTTGTAGGCCAAACATTGATTTTGTTGTCTGCAGTTTGTCAAAATTCCACTTCTGCCCTTCTAATTTCGCCTTTTTTATTTTAATATATCGATATTTTTACAATAAGGGGAGGGGGAGTTCGGTTGAGCCACACAATAGGCAACCTAATTTAGTATCGAATTCGCCATCCACGAGATTCGAATCTAAGACCTCACACTTCCAAGTGAAGAGGAATTCATCAGGACTGAGTGGCTTATAATTTTGCCTATGGTTGTAATTTAAGGATAATAGCTTAATCCCGTCAGGTTTTTTGACAATTAACATGTATGAATATGTGAGGGTAAATGTATAAATAAACATACACGCACCGTGCCTCTTATTGAATTGCAACAATTAGTACACATTGGTTACGTTTGATAGAGAGGATTAGGTTGATAAGAAAACTCACAATAATGGATGACGTGGATTGGTTCGGAGTGTTGTTTTTATTGTGGTCCCGTGATCCAGACCATCGAATACTCGTAGCGTTGAAGTGGAACTTGTTTTTTTTTTTTTTTCATTCAATATGTCTTGAATTTAATGGGTTATTTTATCCAAGCTAATGTTCTCTATCAAACGTAGCATATAAAACTTAAATCGCGACAAATGAAACTCCGGTGATCGAAGTAAAACTTTGTCCAAACCACATGGACCAAAATCATGCTTTACCCTATAATATATGGGTGGTTTCATTCACACACTTATATTTACCTCTCACATACTTTTTTCAAATTTCCACCGTCAGATCGAATAAATTAAAAAAGACCAATAACAAAAAACTAATAAAAGTGTGTACGAGATAAAAAGAGATGTGTGAATAGATCTACCCTAATTTATATGTTATGTCCTTTTGTCCATGCTTAAGCATAAACAGATGGTGATGTGTCACTAAGCATTTGTTGAAGTATGGACTAGGTAGGTTTTCCATCCACACAACTGAACACCAGTCCTCAAGTAGGTACACTCTGTGGTCATTTCCAACCAATAAAAAAAAGGACCACAAAAACAAAAAGGAAAAGAAAAAAAATGTGTTGTCGGGAGCAAAAAGCTTGGCTGGGATGCAAACTTATACTATTTAAGTAGTTCTTGGGGCTGACAACTATATGTTAATGTCACGAGAACTTTTTCAGTGTGCTGAGAATACGGTCATATATACTAATTGTTATAATACAATTGATTGAATTTTTTTTCTTTCAAATTTCTAATTTATTACGTTTATTGTACCAGACCATTTTCTGTTAACACTGAAAAATCTCTCTAATGTCACAATTTTCCTTCAATGATTTTACAATGGTAGAAAAGAAGTTCCAAGTAGTTGTTAAGTGGTTGTCATGTGTGCTGGATTTGTTTACACTTTGCTTCCTTGTTTGCTACCCATCTGCTTTGGCCTTGGATTAAGGATTTGCTTTACCTATAAAATGCATAAAATATCATGCATCAAATTTGCTTGGGAGCAAGAAAGTTTTGCACACGCTTTTTCTAGACACGTTCTTGTTTTTAGGTTTTTTGTTTGTTACTTTGATCTACTCAATTTAAAAGTTGAAATAAATAATAATGTGCAAAATGAGAGAATTAGTGTGAGAAATCACTTCTCGTTTTCTAAAGAGTTATTTGATAATCATTTCATTTTCAGTTTTTATAATTTTCACTTTTTGACTTTCAATTTTCATTTTCTTGAAGACAGAAAATAGTTATCAAACGTGTCAAATCAAATCTTTGCGGTTTTTGGTTTTAAATTTTTTTTAAATGAAGACTAAAAATTAAAAAGTGAAAACAAAATGATTATCAAACGACTCCTTTTTAAGTTCCGCTCTCCTTTTATTCTAGGGTGTTCATAACCTATGCTAATGTACTCTCATTTCTCGTGGAAAAAAATTGAAGAAAGAAACAGAGAAACACTATGGAGCCAATACAAAACTATCAACACTTTTTTTTATAAGAAAACTGGAAAATACAACAAAAACCCTGTTCTGGATAAATTCTTAGGTGCAAACGGCCAAACTACACACACAAAGCACCCCACACTCCTTATATTTTGGTCCTACCCAACCCCTTCTGTCTGGTGCCCTATACAGACGTCCAAACACAAAAATCTCCCCCTATTATGAACTAGAAAGAAAAAATAACCAATACCTAAACACAAAAAATAAGATAAATAAACAAAAATTACTATGCTGTTATTATATTCATGGACACCTCACATTTCTTCCAGGACCACCATAGTAAAAGTAAGTTCCCCACACATTATTTCTTCCCTGTCTTATGTCATAACAATTAGGGTGATCAGCCAGGAGGTGGAGATTTGTAAGTGGGAGCAAATTGTTATCCCAATCTACAACCTGCAAGTTTCTGAAATAAGATGCTTTTCCAGACCCTGCTTCTGCAAATTGTCCACTCCCCATTTGTGTAGATGTGTGGTATCCTCTAGATCTGCTATTTACAATTTCACCCCCAAATTGCACCATGCTTGCATGGCTCCTCAGGTGACTGAACAAGAATGCTGGCCAGTATCCGACTAGGAGCCCATTTCCAAACTCTAGCCACCAGTGTCCATGCTTTGGATCCTGTAAAATTTAAATTAAAACATAATTACATGTTGATTAACTTTATTTTAGAACAAAATGATTGTGATCAATAAGTTGTTTTTGTCTTGCAATGTTTTCTTGACTGAATAATGATGGGTTTAACTTTTTGTCACCTTTTTTGGGGTTGATATGATGAGTTTTTGTCCCTTTAGGTGAAGGGTTTTCTCACTTCTTTTTTTGTCTTTTGATTCTTTTTTAATTTATTCAATCTAAACTGTAAAAATCAAGAACCGATATATACGGAGTAAATAGAGGTGTAAGTGCAAGCAGAAAGAGAAAAACTTATGTAGGAGAAAACTGTAATTTTAGGAGATAAAGCTTCCAAACCTAGTTGGAGGAGACAAACCAACGTTTAAAGTACTAGAAAAGCCCTCCTTTGACAAGAAATGATTGTAATATTTCATTTATCAACACAAATAATTACTAGAGTCAATTAAATATATTACTTCAGTGATCAATAAATTGATTTAAAGACACACAATTTGAGTGAAACCCTTATATAGAAAAGCCCTTCTAAGGAAACAAAGTTGATCCAAGTTGGGTGGCCATGAGAATCTGAGTCTATAAATAAAAAAATAATGGAGGAAATAAGAAAGAAATTGATGTCAATTGAAAGGTGCGGTTGGCTTTTTTACAAGTGGATTAGATGATGAAAAATCTAAAAGGAGTTTTTTTTCCAAAGAAGCAAATATTTTTTTTTTCTTTTTTTGGCAACCTTACACCTGAAGGTAACAAGCTGAATTTTCATGATAACAACAACAATAACCGAGTCTAATCATATTAAATGAGATCTGTTGTATGAATCCTAAAACGCTATTGCGTTTGGTTTACACCAATCTTAATTTTCATAATAAATATAAATGAAATTTTTTATGTAAGCTATAGAGAGAGGATAGAAGTTGAGTGCAAATAAAAAAAATAACACCGTTTGGGCCAACTTAACTAATCTTATGCCTGTATTTTCATCATATATTGATTTGAGTGTAATTTTGTTGTATTTAGATTTGAATATTAAAATAATTAATTATGTGAATGCTGACTTGAAAAACTCACCTTCCAAACCATCAAACCAATGTCAAATTGTCTGCTACCATAAGAGGACCTTGGGGAGATTGCTGCTCCAATTGCAATCTTGTTATTTGTTTGGACAAATCCTGAGCAAAGCAAGTTGTAGCATCCAGTTGTTTGATATGCATCTGTCTATAAATATATAATTAAGAATCAAATTAGTACTAATTTTACTTATTTCCTCATAATTTATGTCTTAATTCTCCATGCAGAAGAGAAACGGAAGAATCTAATTAGTAAAAAAAATTAATTAATAGAACTTACTGTCCAGTATGTAAAGAATCTTGGATAGTTATCTCCATATAACTCTGGACTGACCTGGGAAAAAAAGTAAAAGGAAAATCTTAAATTTGGCAATTAATAAACACAAAATCATAAGTTTTTATGCAAGCGATTTTTTTTTAAATAATTTTGAAATATACAAACAATATTAAGAGAAGAAGTATATGAACACGACAATATATGTTAAAAAAGACATATACCTGCCATCCAGCTTCAATGGTGTTTAAATCATTGCCAAAAGAACCAGAGATGACCCAAATCTGTGATAAGCTAAATTCATACTGGTCAGTGACACGTGGCGCCCACACATTGATGCTAGCCTTTGCTCCATAGTATTGATCCCCATTAACAAACACAACCGCATGCTGTAAAATTCAACCCAATATAAAGTGAAAATATTATTACGTAGTTTTGCTCGCCTAATCCTTTATTATCCTCATTATTTTCGAATGAAAAAAATGACTAACCTCATGGCCACTGCCTGAGGAGTCTCTCCTCACATGTCTTGTCGGCTTTCTTCCGAATCTTTGGAAGGAGCTTGCTCGTAAAATGTCTTTCTCTCCGGTCCGCCGGATCGGAACTGTTCCTTGTGGACATGATTCACCAGAGTCTGCCCATAGCTGATAGCTCTCTCCCACTTTATCTGTGCTGTTATAGCTTTTGGGCCTGTCTGGTTCCTCCTGTAAAAGTAAAATCACTGTCGTAATTAGTCCCCTAATTATAAATTTACAAGTTAATGATCACAAAGTTGAAAAGGGTCATTGACATATTGTTCTTGAAGATTACCAATGGCTTCTTTCCTTTGAGCTCAGGATGATCAAAAGCTGGTTGGAGATGAGATAAAACACAATCTATCACATCACCATCTGGACTCTGCATCGAGAAATAACAAAAATCCAAATCATTAAATCTCAAAAACAACAAGAAAATGTCGATGACTATTTACTCTAACGACCCATTGTTTTCAAATCTCATAGACGACAATTATTTATTATTATATATTTGGCTTTCGAATTGATCAACCTCTTAGTTTCTCCTTATGCACTAATCTGCTTGTCTTAAAGCTAAACATAAAGAGACAAGTGCAGAAAGAAAAAAAAAAGGAGTGCGAAAATCAGTTCTCCACAAAAATCCGAAGACAACAAGAAAATCAACATTTGCATTGAATTCACTATCAAGGACAAAATGTCGTGCCTGAATAGTCTTGACAGCAGGCTTGTTGATCTTCCTTAAATATGATTGGACTTGGACCCCGCTCAACTTGTTGATAGAGCCGGTCCGAAAAGTCTGATTGGCCGGGGAGGGGCGGCGTAGGCCAGAATCCGAGACAACTGGGTGGGACAATGCAGGACTAAAGAGAGAAGAAGAAGCAACAAGAAGTAAGAGAACAAGAAGCATGGAGACGAATGAGAAGGAGTTGGAGGTGTGAGAGTAAGTAGGAAGAGCCAGTTTAGAGGAATGTTTGGGTTCGAGTGGTGGAGTAGGTTGACTCTGTCTTGTGTTTGGTACAAAAACAGTATCAGAAGTTTGTGTTTGGTTGCATTGGACTGGGTGTCTTCTTGTTGTTGTGTAGTGGGATTTCACATTCTTCTGTTTTGTCCATGGGAGTTGTGGTGGATTAGGATTATAGTCTTCTTCTCCTACTCCCTTCATGTCCTTACAAAACAGAAGCAACCATCAAAGATGTAAGAGTCTTCTGCTGCCACTGCCTGCCCAGCTAAGTTGTTCACTTGACTCGCTGCCTTTGCATTTCCAACATATAAACAACTCTCTCTCTCTACATCTTCTGAGGAGAGAGAGATTCTTGGGTTTTGGTGCTCTGACACCTAAGAAAACTTTTCAAGCATGAGGGGATATTAAAGGAGAAATGGGAAGAGCACTCTCTCAAAGCAAAGCAAGGTTTTTTTTATCACTATGTCACTTTATTGTTTAATGTTAATTTTCGAGCAAATATTATAAGATTTTTTTGCTAAAAGCATGATATGTCAGAAAATTCATGGATAATTTTAATTTTAAAACAGTCTGTTAGCATTTCGCTTATTAAAATAGGGGTGATAGGTGGGGCTGTTCTTCCCCAAGTTTTAATTCTTTTCACAAAGAGGGACAAGAAAGGAGATGGGTGATTCAAAGTTCAGGTTGATTTACAATTTTACAAAATAGTGAAACATGCAACTGCTTGAGACTTGAGAGCTAAGCCAAGTATACCTAACAAGCGACAGCCTCTGGATTCTTTGCCTTTCTTTTTGGCTAAAAGAACTTCGTTGCTTCGTAAATAAGCTTCTCAAAACTTCATTTCATAGTCGGAATCCGAAAACACTTTTGAATTTCTATTTTGAAGAAATGGATCTAACTATTAGTGTACCCGATTGTTATTTCACCTAATTACTAAGTATTTCTAATGACAACTTTAATCTGAATGCTTATTTTTAAATTTTCATGTGTTCCATAAAATATGGGTATTGAATATTCCAATTTCTGACTTCTCATATGTTGACTAACGTACATGAAATCAAAAAATTGCGTTTCATACTAAATTTTTTGATTCAGTATCTATAAAATAAAAAATCTAATCAACTGAAGGACTAATTGATATCGTACCAGTCTTTTTTTTTTTTCTCCAATTCATAACATACCGGAGTTCCCTCGTTCTAAGTAAACATGACATAATAATAGGGAGTTTTAACGAAAAGCCCACAGTACTGTTTACTTTAACAAAAAACCACATTTTTATACTAAAAAATCAAACTTGATACTATTCACTTTACCCTTTATTTTGTTCTTATCATTAAAACTCAAAATTTTCAAGGATTTTCCATTAGTTTTCTTATAATATTATCATTGGTTTAGAGGAACACAGTAATTACAGATGAAGTAAAAGAGTCTCTTTTCTTTTAGGGGAATGCTAGTTACCTTCCTCGCTTGCCTTTTTTCATTTGCTTTTCTCTCTCAATAAATGACAATTGAACTTATCTCGTCTTTTTTCATTTGCTTTTCTCACTCAATAAATGACAATTGAACTTATCTTACACCTAAATCTATGTAATAGTTAGGATGGGGGCCTAGTTGCAGTGGCACTAGAGCCAAAGAAACTCCCACCTCACCCAAGTTCGATTCCCCCCACCCCCAAGCTTAACTAATGACAAAAAAAAAAAAAAATCTATGTAATAGTTGTCATAAATCATTAAATTATCCAACAAACTCATTAACTTATCTTTCCAGTAATACCGTAGTTAAATCCCCAACTAAAGGCTGGTTTGGTATTGCTGTACTTTGAAAAAAACTGTTTTTGCTATGATATGAGAATAAGCAGCTGTGAAATAAAGCAGCAAAGTGTTTGGTAAACCTTTTTGTAAAAGTGCTTTTGAAAAAAAAACAGTATTATAGTGTTTGGTAAACTTTTATGTAAAACAAATGTGAAAAAAAAGCCGGTTTTTCAAAGCTGGGTTTTGCAGCTTCTTGTTTTTGGCTTTTTTCACCAAAAACTGTGAAAAAAGCTGAAGCTGAATGTTTACCAAACACAAAAACAACTCCCAGCTTTTTTTTATATCAGCTTTTTTCAAAATCACCTCAGTACCAAACCAGGCCTAAATTATTAAATTTTCCACCAAATTTGACATATAATTAAGAACATCAATGAAAAGAAAAGAAAGGAGTTTTAAACACAATTAATACATAGTTTTAGATGTAAGATAAGTTCGCATGACATCCATTGAATGATAAAGATAAATAAGAGAAAGCGGAGAAAATAGCTAGCATTCCTCTTTGTTTTATAATTCTGAAAGCTCATTCCATATTTGGCCCTTGCAGCATCTTTCCAGTCTCATTGTTTCACTTCTTTTTATCTAACTATAATAATGTTCTGAATGTTAATAATGCTGTTGTCAACAGTCGCCACTAGGAGGAAGTGGAACAGTTGGAATGCATAAACAGCCTTACATTTTCAAGTGTCTTGTATATTCATCATTTCAAATTGGACCATGAAACTTAATTAAAAAAAAGATAGATAACTTCTTTTGACTAAACAGACTTATCAGTAATTTAAATATTCCTGAATTACTTTTTAGTTATGACAGAAAAGAGAAGAAAAAATTGTTACTGTAATTGGTGTGAATTCAGATAAGAGTAAATGAAAATTTGAGAAATAATTATGCAGCATGTGGTTCTTGTGCTCTTTCAGCACTTGCTGAATTTAGTTTGTTTATTAGAGCAACTCAATCTCTAAAAAATATGTTGGCACTCAACCCATTTAATCCACTCAATGAACAGTGATTGATTACAATGAACAGTTAATTGGCCAAATGCATCTTCACCCTTACAAAATACGATGGCACTCAGTCCATTTAAAATATTATTAATTTTTTTTATAAAATATTAAAATAGTATTTTTAAATTCGGATAGGATTTTTAACCAATATTGTCACGTCACATGTCATTATCTGAAAAGTACTATTTTTGTGAATAGATTTTCAACCAATCATGACACGCCACGTGTCACTATCTGTTTACAATAATTTAGCCAAGATTTCGATCAGATTTTCAACCAATGTTGTCACGCCACATGTCATTATCTGAATGTACTATTTTGTGGATAGATTTCCGATAAGATTTTCAACCAATCCCGACACACCACATGTCACTATCTGTTTACAATAATTTAGCCAAGATTTTGATAAGATTTTCAACCAATCATGTAGTGCCACGTGACATTGTCCAGAACCTTATCCTTTTTTTTTCCATATAAACCCTACATCCATCCTCATTCATACACCAAACTCAATACTTTTTTTTTAGCTCTGACTCTTTCTTCATCATTTTTAAATCTTGAGTTCTTACAATGTCTTCTTCAAGGAGATTGTATGAAATCGATGAGCAACAGAAAAAATTGTTGGCACAACATGAAGAATTGTTCAATCTAGAGGAAGGTGGAGATGAGGCTTTCACAATGGAAGAGAATGGGGATGCTGAACATAGAAGGCAGAAGGGCTTACATTCCCGTCGTGTCATGGAAGCTGTGGGTCATATATCAAAACTCAGACGTGCCGCAAACTTGGATAGAAAGAGGGAAAAACGAGGTAAAGATCTCTTGGAAGATTATTTTATCCCTAACAGTTTATTCCCTAATCATATTTTTAGACGTTGTTTTAGAATGCAACAAAGTTTGTTCGACAAAATCATGAGTACTATTTGCAACCATGATCCATACTTTGTGCAAAAAAATGATGCTTTTCATGTTCTAGGTCTTCTTCCTGAGCAAAAAGTTACTGCTACCTTGTGGACTTGCATATGCAGTATCTATAGATCAGGTGGATGAGATAGCGAGGATGGGAAAATCAACTGTTCTGGAGTCCCTGATGCGGTTTTGCTCCGCAATTGAAGCCCTGTACACCAATGAGTACCTCCAGAAACCCACGCCAAGGGATCTGCGAAGGCTTCTGAAGAAGGGTAAGATGCGAGGCTTTCCTGGCATGATTGGAAGCATCGACTGCATGCACTAGACCTGGAAAAACTGTCCAAGTGCGTGGCAAGGAGGCAACAGAAAAGGAGCAAAAAGTATCATTTTGGAAGCAATGGCTTCATTTGATACATGGATTTTGCATGCTTTTTTTGGTGTTCCAGAAGCTCAAAATAACCTCAATATCCTGTCTCAATCTCCAGTGTTCAACGAGGTGCTGCAAGGAAAAACACTAAGAGTCACATATTGGGTGAATGGCCATAAATACGAATGAGCATACTACCTAGCATACGTCATTTACCCAAGGTGCACAACGTTTGTCAAAACAGTGCTACATCCACAAAGTGAAAAAGAAAAATACTTCGCAAAATGTCAAGAGGAGTGTACGAAGGATGTGGAGCGTTGTTTTGGTATCCTGAAGCTTGTTGGGCGATTGTCAGGGTTGCTGCAAGAATATTTGATGTCGAGACTCTTCGATCCATCATGATGACGTGTATCATTCTCCACAACATGATTATGGAAGATGAGTATTGTTTATACCATATTTAAGGCCTCGTATTTAGACCTCGTATAAATACTCGGGGGACTTAAATGTAATTATGTAATAAAGGAAGGGGCAAATATGTAATTAGGGGAGGAGCCCTTATTCTATAAAAGGGCCTCCTCACCCTCACAAACCCTAAGTCTCTCCTATCTAGAGCAAAGCTCTCACACTCTCTCCCCCACAAATACTCTCAGAGAAATACAATCAGTGTGGATGTATGGGGTGAACCACGATAACTCTTGTGTTATTTACATTTCTTGCAGATTCACGGTCGGATTTATGTTGTACCAAGACCTCCAGTTTTGTGTATCAACAAGTATGATTATGATGTCGTCGATGAATACGAACCACACATGATGAACAACTTAAGAACACGTATCTATTGTGCTCATGACCGCACCAAAGATCCCGTGCAACACGAGTCATTGGAACGGGATGGACGTTATAATCAATTGATCGTTGAGTGGTACAATTCAATGAACTACCATACTGGCAGTTAAGCCGTCAACTTGAATTGATTGAGCACCAGTGGGGATTACAACAAGGTGAAGATTAAAAGGAGCTTGTGGTGGAAGAATAAAGTTCTTAGCTTATTTTGTGTGTTTTTTTAAGTTTATTTGGTGAGTTTATGTCATTTTATTTGGTACTAAAAATAAATAAGAAATTACATCTAGTACTAAAAATAAAAAAGAAATTACATAAAGTACAACAAATAAATAAGAAATTACATAAAGTACTAAAAAATAAATAAGAAATTACATAAAGTACTAAAAAATAAATAAGAAATTACATAAAGTACTAAAAATAAATAAGAAATTACATAAAGTACTAAATATAAAGATGAAATTAAATTAGT